AGGCTGTTATTTTTGTAATTTTGAATGTAGAGCATCTATGTAGAATATCCTGTAGTGTAAAATAAAGTGCCTACAGCTAAGAAGTGAGTTCTGTAGGGTTGTAGACTATAAGATCAATGTAGAAAAGAAATTGTTTCTGTGTACTAGCAACTAACAATTGAAGCCGAAGTAAAAACATTACAAGATGGCGTTAGAAAATATTAAATAGAGATAAACCTATGCAAGCTCTGTACACTGAAACCGACAAGACATAGTGCCCATCAATATTATTAAAATATAATTCCTGCCCAAATTGCTCCCTTTCTTCAATGCAATCCCTACCAACATTTCTAGATGCATTTTTGTGTGTGGAGAAACTGACAAGCTAATTCTAAAATTCAGCTGGAAATGCAGTAGATCTACTGCACATGAAGAGCTTTGCAAAGAACAATTCACAGAACTTAATACTGCTTTTAAATCAAGACTCACCATCAATCTACAGAAACCAAGACAATGTGGTATTGGGATCCAGATAGGTAAACAGATCAATGGAACGGTGTAGAAATTCCACCAGTAGACCTGCGCCTATGTGTTCAATTTATTTTGACAAAAGTCTTAAACTAATTCAGTAAAGAAATCAGTCTTAAGAAAAGAAAAAAGAAATCAGTCTTTCAACAAATGGTGCTGGGAAGACTGAATATTCTTATGAAAAACTTTTATCCACATGTCACATCGTATTTGAGAAGTAACTCAACATGGATCATAAGACCTAAGCATAATACTTAAAGCTCTTTAACTTCTAGAAGAAAACACGAAAAACTAAAGGCAAAATTTTGATATTGGGTTGGGCAAAGGTTTTTCTCAGATACAAACTGAAAGCATGATCTATAAAAGGAAAGTGGATAGGTTAGATATCTTTTATATTAAAATATCCTGGTCTTCTGAAGAAAAACCATAGACTGGCAGAAGATATTTGTCGATTGCTTATCTAACAAATGACTTGTATTCAGGAAAACATTTTTTTCAAAACTCAGATAGAAGAAAATTAAGAATCAGATTAAAAAATAGGCAAAATATTTGACCAGCCCCATCCTTAAAGAAGATGAAAGAATGCTAAAACAGATGGTAGTGGTGATGGCACAACTCTTGTAACATGTTTAAACCACTGACTTGTGTGGTATGTGAATTATAGTTTCATAATTTTTTTTTAATTGTAAAGAAGATACTAAATGTCATATAAGTACCTGGAAAGATGTCAGACATTGTTAGCCACTTGAAACAGCCCCAAGTCCAGCAGAGTGGGCTGCTGGGTCAAGTGACCTTCCATGTGAAGAATGAAGTTGGATTTTTACCATCGATGAAAATAAACTCCAAATGCACCAGTGATCTAACTATCAGAGCTAAATCCACGAAGCTTTAGAGGAAAACCTCCCGATGTTGTATGTGGCGATGGAGCCTCGGAACCAAAAGCATGCGCAGCGAAAGAAAAACGCGATGCATCGGACTTCATCCACGCGGACAACTTTCGTGCCTGAAATGATCTGATTAAGAAAGGGAAAAGACAAGCGACAGAGTAGGAGAAAATATTAGAAAATCACAGATCTGACGAGAGTTTGCTGTCCAGAATAGATCAAGAGCTGCTACGACCCAACAATAGCAAAACAGACCGCACAGTTTTTAAAATGGGCAAAAAACTTGAGTAGACATTTCTCCAAAGGAGATACACAAATGGTCAAGGAGCACATGAGAAGATACTTCATTTGACACATGAGGGAAATGCTAATCAAACCCACCGGGAAGATACCCCTTCACTTCCCCTTGGAGGGCTTTATCAAGCGAAACAGAAAACAACAAACCTCTGAGGAGGTGAGAACCCTTGTGAGTCACTGGCAGGGATCTAAAACGGCTTAGACGGCCCCTCAAAAACTTAAACAAGCCATCACTGTGCTGTGGCTCTTACTGTGCGCCCCTGGAAAGAGATGGTCTTATCTCTTCTCCGTGGAACTGCTGGTACATTCACCCTGGCCTTCTGATGAACAGCCACGTGCCTAACCATGGGGCCTCCAGGGCTCCAGGAATTACCCTATCATCCAACAATTGCTCATCTGATTATGCGCCGCG